CCAACCCAAAAATTTCAACTAAAATATACAAAAGTTCAACCAATGCTACAGGAACAATAAGAAGAACAAAATGGATATTATTAAATTTTGTGGTAGTTATATTTTGAAAAAGTATACCATTGCGGTCGATATTGGTTACCAAGCGAACCACGCACTTCTATTTTCTTATCATTATCTGTTTCTTAACAGAATAGAAATTCTTATGATCATTACTTTTGTTTAAATTTAAGTAGTTTTAATTTAATTATTTTAGCATTAATTTTGAATAAAATTTTAATAATTTATTTAAACAATAATTAAATTTCTTTATATATAGTTTTTATTAAATATTTTTATTTAAAAATATAAATTATGTAATATATTAAATTTTTATTTAAAATTAATTTTTAAAAATTAAAAGATTAAAAAATTAAATTAAGATTACTAAATTTCACGAGAGAGTATTATATATTGAGCTGAGGTTGTAGTTCTACCATCAGAACAAAGACAAGTCCTCCCCGATATACTAGAGAAAATGGACTTCAATGTTCGTCAGTGCAACCAAACAACGTATCACTCGGCCATCATCAGGCTGGTGTACATAGAAGTTAACATGGTGGTGATGGTTCTGGCAGCAACAACTCTTGCGATCTTCGGATCCTCGCGGAGGCGTAGCAACAATGCGGTGTTAACTGGAATACAATGGATAAGCTACACTTTGCTTACCACCATTTTGTTCTCCAACACCATAGGCCAGATGCAAAGTGCCCAATTCCGAAATGAACTCTTTGCTTTATGGGCAATATCTTTGCTCATCCTCTTCGCAAGTGTCGATTCATTTTCTGCATTGAGTCTCGCGGGCAATGAACAATGGAGGAAGCATTTTGGGGAACTTTTTTTCATGGGAGGTTCACTGGGATGGATTACTGCCTTCTACTTTGCAGGAAACAAATACTACTTGTATGTCTTTCCTGGTATTATCTTCATCCTTGGTTACAAGGTACGGGAAAGAGGTATAGCTATGTGTTTGGCCTCTAAATACTTCATAGAAAGGAACACTAAATTGATTGCCGATTTCATGGCCCATGAGCATGAAATCCGTACGGAGGGTGAACCAGATCCTACTGACATGCGGGGTTACAATTACTTGGTCAACGGAGACACACAGAAGGTAAAAGTCACCCTGCCGCTTTATCAGAAGCAGGTGGACATTACAAAAGCTGAAATTGTCACCCTGCAGAAGGTCTGGCAGCATCGAGGGAGGCTTCTAAGCGGGGAAACAGGGGAGCGACTGAAGGACATCTGCCTCTCTTTTGCCTTATTCAGGCTAATTTACCGCAAATTTGGCGGTCATCCCTTCTCTGAGAGTGGCCATGGCAAGACATGGAATCTCGTTCGACATGGTCTACTTTCCAAAGAAGATGATTATAACAGAGTATTCAGGGTCATCGAGGTAGAACTCTGTTTCCTTTTTGATCTTTTCTATACCAAGTACGCGGCCATCTTCAAACAAGGTCAAGGATGGAACAAATTAAAGCTGTTCGATGCTATATTCATCGTACTTGGTTGCGTCGTTGCGGCAAAAATCCTGGGTGATTATAAGCCAAGTAATGAGAACTGTAATCTCATTACAGGTGGTCAAGAGATTAACATTGACAAGCTAGTTTCAGGTTTTGTCATAGTTGGAGTCCTCTTCTTGGAGATTGCCCAACTTCTCTGCCTTATGGTATCTGATTGGGCCACTGTGCTTTGGATTTGCAGCTATGTGAGGGGAGATTCGTGGCTGCAGAATAATGATACCTACCTCAAGGTAAGAACAAAGGTAATTTTGTACAGTCAAGAAAAGTTGAAACCTTGGGGGAGAAAACTTGATCAATACTCTCTTCTTGAATCTTTCAATCGCGACCCTTTGGGATGGAAATTGAGGCGTCTAATCTTTCATCTTTTAGATGTTCCCAGAATAGGTCGGAAAGGAAGCCATCGTATCCTTTTACCCGAACAGGTAAAGAAGGCAGTGGTGCTCATTCTTAGAAGGGATGGTCCCAAATTGAGCAATGGGGAAGAATCTTTGCACAGGAATGGAGTGTGGGGTGACCTTTCTTGGGCATGTAAACTGGAGACAACCACCCATGTCATCTTGGTGTGGCATTTGGCTACTAGTCTCTGTGAGATTGCAACAAAAGGAGAGAGTTTAATGACTAAAGAAGATTTCACTGTTGCCACTAGCTTGTCTAATTATTGTGCCTATCTTGTGGCTTTTGCTCCAAGGTTGATTTTTGATAATGCTGTTGTTTCTGAGTCCATATTCGATTCGGTAATTATTGACGCCAGATACTTTCTCAGTAAGTGCAAGTCAGACGAAAAGAAGTATGCAAGGATGATGGAACTTGGTAAAGGAAACGATATCATTGAAAGGGCTGCAGTGCTTGTGAAGAATCTGGTTAACCTACAAAAAGACTTAATGTGGAAGGTCTTAGCTGATTTCTGGGCAGAGATTATGTTATTTCTAGCACCCACTGGTGATCCAAGTGCTCATGCAGAATATCTAGCCAAAGGTGGACAGTTTGTAACCCATTTATGGGCGTTGCTCTCGCATGCTGGCATTCTTACTCAGTCTCAGCCTTCAACTTCGCAAGATGTTTAGTGGTCATGTTAATTTATGCATATCAAATTATGCTAAGCTCTCTTAAACCTCGTTTATAATTTGTATTAATTTGTAACATTTGGGGTGTTTGATCAGTTGTGTTTAATATATAGGAAGCTGGACTTAATTTTTAAGTTGTGGTGTTTAATATTAAGCATTGTGATCATACGTAAATGCGAACAAATAAAATATAAGTGATTGATAATTCTGTGTATAATAGAAACGAATTTTTAGCTTTATGATTATTTTTTCTCTTTCTAGTTATATTTGGGTTTATTGTAATTCACGTATGGTGACCGTAGAAGCACTGTGTTATGTTATTACTAAAATAAGTTATTTTATTATCTAAAGAGATATAGATGTGCTATATATGATTAAGGAAAATGATTTAAAAATAACATTTTTGCATCATTTTTTGTATAACTTTATGTGTAATTTAAAAAGATAGTGATCGGTATATCATATATTTCAACACCCGGTTCAATATTTTTCGGTTTAATCATTAAAAAATTACTATTTTTTAGTATAAAATTAAAAACAGACAAGCATAATGATACAATCATGCACACAGGATACATGAACCGACTGAATTGATTATATTTATATTATATTTTTAATGATTAAACCGAAAAGTGTTGAATCGAGTATTGAACCGAAAAATGTACTAAACATTTCTCAATTTAAAATATTAACTTTGTTATTTATTTGAGACTCATGATATTTAATATATTCACTCATTTAATAACATGTAAAAGTTTTATAAAAGATTACACAAGAAAATTATCCCTATATCATTGCTCATATGGTTAATTACAAAATTTCAACGTTTGATTATCATAATAAAATTATTACCAAGTGTTTTTAGAATTGCGTGAATGTATTACTTGCGAGCACTAGCAGGATGTTAGGGTTCTTCTGTTTTCTCTCCGCGGCGGGTGTGAGAATTTTTCTGTATGTACTTGGGCTAAGATGTGAGAACCCAGTCTAGATATTGCTTATCCTTTCTCTTGTGGTTGATGTTTTTTTGTCGCTCCATCTGACGATCCAATGGCTAATGAGGAACATCTAGCCAAATTGTGGGACGTACAATTATATTAGTTTGGATAAGGCATTTAGATTTGACTATTTGTTTTTTTTAATACATTTTATGATAAGTAATACAAAAGAGGTTAGCCCTTCCATTTTTCAATATCCCTCCATTGACTCAGGTTCCAATCCCATTTTTAAATTGGAACTTTAAGGCTATTTACTACTTAAGTTACTCTCTGGTGGGCTGTATCTAGCTTTTTATGAAAGCGTAAAATACTCAAAAATGTTTATTATCCAATCCCATTTTTAAATTGGAACTTTAAGGCTATTTACTAATTAAGTTACTCTCTGGTGGGCTGTATCTAGCTTTTTATGAAAGCGTAAAATACTCAAAAATGTTTATTAACACGAGGGTACCCAAAAACATTACTCTCCATACCTTTCAGTTGCCTTGATCTTTCAATTTTATGTAAATTGATTTGATAATTTTATTTAAATAATACTCAACAAGAACCATGTAAAAGAAATATTTTTTCAATTGTTCTTTTATTGGCTATATAACTAGTAATATTATAATTATAATATCACGTAAGATTATAAGTTTACTATCATAATTTGTCATTAAAAGAGTGAATGCATATAATATCACAATTGATCGAATCCCTAAATAAAAAAAAGTCAATCGTACAATGACATATCATAATTATAAACTTATAATATTAATATTATAAATATATCATTTTTGAAAAAAATGAGCTTAGTTTTTTCTTGTGGGGTAATAATTAAATATTATGTCATGCTCTAAAATTGGGAGCGAAACAGACGCCATATACTTGTGAGAAACTTCCATAAATGCATTAGACTCGAAACCTGTTTAATTCATAACTAGCAATTCACACAAACTTAGATCCAAAATTTCAAGTAAAATCTAGCTTTCAATAACTAAAGTTTGACTAAGTCAAGAGTGTACAAAAATTTTACAACTCCATTAATAAAGTCATAACTATTTCTAAGGAGATATTGTCTACAAAAGAATGATTTATATCTCAAGAATCTATATCCAAAATACAAGTGGCTAGCTTTCTCACTTGTTACTCCCCTTGGTTCCCCCATCTTGGGTCTCATTACCTGAAATAGTAGACAAAGAAAAATTATATGAGATAACTTAATAAGTAAAAATATGAATAACTCTCTCTGAAATTTAAAGCATGCCAAGTAAATATTTTAATTTTAAGTAGAAAGAAAATCTCAATTGTAAATCATTTATGCATACTGAAATATATTTAGTAGTCCCCTCAATTAGTCATGGTTCGTGTATTTGATGCACTAAAATCACTTTCGTAAATATACTAATCGATCCAAGTAATATAATGATAAATAGAGTGTCGAACCCATAAAAATTGTGATTAATTAAGTACCAAAATAATTAATCTAAATTTATTTGAACAATAAAAAAAAAGGAAGCTTTAATTAAAAATGATAAGAAGGAAATAACAATTAAAATAAAATTAACCAAGATATGAGATACTAAGCCATCGACTCACCATAATCAATTAACATGGATTTTCGATTATTATACTTTCAATAAGTTTCCATTCATGTGACAGTGATATTTCTTATCATATTTGATGTACTTTCTCAAGTTATACCAAACCTATCATAATCTAATAATCCACTATATCTCTATGTGAATTTAAATAGAAAAAAGATATATTATATTATGTTAAATTCCCTAGTTTACGTAGAAAATTAAATCCACTTTTCATTAATGCTGCACAAATTACGTTGGTCCATCTCTGACTTTCGTTCAATTCATGGTATATATTACTAGAAGTTATTGTATAAATCTCCTCTCGGTCTTAATTATGCTCTCCAAATCAATTTTAATGGTGATCAAGCATTAAAAAGTACTAAGAACAATAATATATACTCATTATGGAATAACAATCTCAAAAGTGTTAAAATCATAAAAACCTATATTAAATTGATTAGGCTACATTTTAACCCTAGTTGACTAATTTAGTTCATAATAAAAATAATAAAATTTGAAATCATAATTATGAATAGTTGAATATCAAACAATAGATAAAAAGAATGTAAGAAAAAACAAAACTCAATTTGAGAAAATTAAACTTCTTGATCTTCTATTATTAATGAAATCTTTATATTGATATCAAATAATGCCCAAAAGAGGACTGTCATCAGCCTCCAAAGCTGTTCCTTATATTCTGACCCTTATATTCTGAACTTGGATGAGTATTAAGAGGAATTTTTTTTTTTTGATGGAAGTATTTAAAGGATTTTAGAAACCTTAATTGGAATAAAACTAGGATCCACACTCAAAATAATAAATTAGTTTCGAATTTCTAAAAATCACGTAAGGGGTCAACACCTTCAATTAGGTGCCGCTCCTTCTGTTAAGCGGCCAATTATATCGGGTTTTTTGCCTTTTGAGTAATTTTTGTTAATGGTAAAATGGCAATTTTGGTGCTTAACTTCTAGATTTTGCACAAGTTAATCATCATGTTTTTGAGATTTTTAATTTACTCTTAAAAATTATGATTTCTTTCAATTAAGTCATTTCCTACATAAAAATGAAAATTATGTAAAATCAAATAAAATCTTATAAAACTCATTCAAATATTAATAATATCAAGACTAAAATTTTACATTAATATGTATATAAATTCAGCTCATCAAATTCCCCCAAACTTAAGTTTTACTTGTCCTTGAGTAAAATAAAAAACAAATAACCAAAAAAAAAAAACATAATTCACTTTCATAGGAATCACGATTGCACTCAGTATGTGCAACAAACCTTTAAACCCCTAGGTCATCCTAGTAGACGAGTTGTGTTTTGTGAGGGTTTTCAACTGATCTACCCACAAAATCCCAGTGCAAGAATGCAACTATATGATATGTATACAAAGAAAATTTAGGTATTAAAGTTCAATTAAATACCAAGTCTCAAATACTCAAGAGTTCTTATTCACTCACTTAAAGTCAAATACTCCATCTTATTCTTCACACCACTTATCAAAAGATTTAGCTCATGAGTACTTAGTATGTGTGTGAAAATTCTTAGTAAAAAATTTCGAGTTTTAACCTTCACACCTTAACCCTTGTTACTATTTTTTCTCCCCCCCCCCCCTTTTTTTTTTGTATGTCGAGTGATGAGATGAATTTATATACATGTTGATGTGAAATTGTTGCCTTGATATTGTTGATATTTGGATGAATTTTATGAGATTTTACTTGATTTTATGTAATTTTATTTTTTGTGTAAGAAAGGATTTAATTGAAAGAAATCATAATTTTTAAGAGTAAATTGCAGAGATTAGAACCTTGAGGATCAACTTGTGTAGAATCCAGAAGTTAGGGACCATGACTGTTATTTTACCGTTACAGAAATTGCTAAGAAGACCAAAAACCCGACATGGTGATTGCATTGTGCGCTAAACAAAAGTGTTGGCACCTTGTTGAAGGTGTTGACCCCTTACATGATTTTCACCAAATTCATGTTTAATTAGTTATTATGGATGTGGGTCTCACTTCTATTTCATTTAGGGTTTTTAAAATCTTATAAATACCCATCCAAATTCAAAATTAATGGAGTCAGAGAAGGTTGGTGATAGCCCTCTTTTGAGCATTATTGGAGATCAAGATAGAGGATTTATCAATAATAAAAGATCAAGGAGTTTAATTTTCTCAAATTAGGTTTTATTTTTCCTTTGATTCTTTTATCTATTGTCTGACATTTGAATGTTTATAACTATAATTTTAGGTTTTATTATTTTTATTATAAACTAATTTATTTTATTAAGGCTACGATGTAGTCTAATCAATTTAATATAGATTTTGTGATTTTTATACTTTTAATTAAAGCTATTCGTATGAGAAATTTATGTTATTGAGTTTAATGCATTGGAAGCTTAATCATCTTTCAATTGATTTAGTGATTTATGCATGAACTTGAAAAAAAATTGCATAAATTAGACCAATAATAATATAAACTATGTTTTAGACTATGATACTAAAAGGTAATTAGCTCACATGTGGTAGTGGAGGAAGAGAAGAGAGTTAGGAGCTCCTCCCTCTTCAACTAGAGATTTCCATAGAATTTTACTTGATTTTACATAATTTTTATTTTTTATGTAGAAAAGGATTTAATTGAAAAAAATTATAATTTTTAGGAGTAAAGTGCAGAGATCAAAAACTTGAGGATCAACTTATGCAGAATCCAGAAGTCAGGGCCTAGGATTGTTATTTTACCATTACAAAAATGGCTGAGAAGGCCAAAAACCCAACACGGTGATGGCATTGTGCGCTGAACAGAAGTGTCGGCAACTTGTTGAAGGTGTTGACCCCTTATGCGATTTTCACCAAATCTGTGTTTAATTAGTTATTATGGGTGTTGGTCTCACTTCTATTTCATTTAGGGTTTCTAAAATCCTATAAATACCCATTCAAATTCAGAATTAAGGGAGTTGGAGAAAGCTGATGACAGCCCTCTTTTGGACATTATTGGAGATCAAAATAAAGGATCTATCAATATCGAGTTTCTTTAGACTTTCTAAGTTACCCATGTAACGAGTTTTCTATCAATGACTCCCAAACCAGTTGGCTTTAGGGCAGTAGGTGAAGAGACACCCATAAGAACATACTCACTCAAGTAACAAAGGCCATAAAACATTCGACTTCTCTTCTTCTTCTTCTTCTTTTTTTCCCAACCATACAACACATTCTTCCCTAAGTTATCACTTGTCTTTTGACATGCATACTAACATTTGTGATGAAGCATCCGGTTACTCAATAAGTCATAAACTCAAAATGCTTTGCATACTCATATTTCAATTTATCGTTTGACATGAAAGTTGACATGAGTCTCATGCCTGACCCCTCAGTTACTAAGCAACTAGAAACATTGGAGTAGAAATTAACAAACTCTTTTGTGTGTTGGCTTCTTTTTCCCTTTTTTTTTTTATGTGCTTTTTAGGTGCTACTAAATCTTTTCTCTAAACTTCTCATTACAAACTTGTGCTCAAGTAGAATAGAATACTCATGAACTTAAACTTCATTACAATGGTGTTATTTTTTAGATTTTGTATCTCCTCTAAGATTCAAAGATTTTAAAAGTTTTTGAATTTTCAATTCAAGAATATTCAATTCCTTAACAATAATTGGACCAACTCCTTAAAAACCCTAATTTATAAAAAAAGAAAAAGAAAAAGAAAAAGAAAAATGTGTATCATGCAAATATGAATGTAACTAATGTAAGAATGGACACCTAAAAGTTATTCTCTCCCCCAAACTTAAATCAAACATTGTCCTCCATGTAAAACAAAAGTAAAAGAAAAGAGAAACTTCACAGATTTTGCACTTTTCTTGCTCAAGAATTATTTTGCTCAATTAGTTGGTTTTGTTTTAGCATTCATCGGGTTATTCTGGAAAATCAAGAATCCATAATAAAAAAGGATTCAGAATGCTTATGTCTATATCGTTTGGGTTATAATCAATTTATCCAACCTATGCATCGAACTTTACGCACCTAAATCAAGTGCATTTGTATCTTTCATATAGAATTAATCATCAAGAATGAAGCCAATAATGGGTATTATTTTGATAAGCATTAGAAAAGTATTTATCCTCATTTCTTATAGTTCTTCAAATAAATAAATTAAAATAATAACAATAACAATAACAATAACAATAACAATAAAACAGAGAAAGCATAGTAAAATTTTGTGGGTAGTAGTTCCAATGAGGAATTCATGATTTTAATGAATGGTACTACTAAAGTGGGCTATTTATTAAGGTTGTGTTCTTCTTAGAAACGATTCTAGAGTGTTTTTTCTACTTTTTAAATTAATTTACACAATACTTCTACCCAAAAGTGATTGTTGTGTCTATTAATTTTAGGAAATAGTTGGAGCTATTAATGAGGGTTTATTTTATTAGAACAGCAAGAAACTTTCTACTCAAAGGTGATAGTTTACTAAAAGTTCTTTCTCATTATTAGCTTGTTTATGAAAATTTACTTTGCATGCCACAAATTTAGCCCAAAGGTGTTTGTGTGTTTTATGCACTATGAATTTTTTCTTGAGGATATCATCTTTGTCAAGCTAATGCTTGTGGTATATTGCCTATGTTTATAATTAATGTAACTTAATTATTCTATAATTCCAGCTTTTATCTCTATAACTATAAACAATCAAGGGAGCACCATTGAGACTTTGAGTGGAAACAATTTTATGAGATGGAAAAGAGATATAGAGATAGCCTTGGGTTTGGCAAAGATTGACATTGCTTTGATAGAAGATAAAGCCCCTAAATCTATAGAAGATAGTATTCTTGATGAGAGAACTAGACATGAAAGATGGGATAGAGCAAACAGATTGAATTTGAAGACTATGCAAAAGTTAGTTAGTGATGGTTTTGAAGGTGTTGTTTTTGGAGCTACTATTGCTAAACAATTTCTTGAGGTCATGGGTAAGAGGTACTGATAAGCTAAATTCATATAGATATTAATGTGAAATTTTTATCTTGATATTATTGATATTTGGATGAATTTTATGAGATTTTACATGGTTTTCATTCTTTGTGCAGAAAAGGACTTGAATGCATAAAAATAAGAGTTTTTGGGATTAATTGAACATCTTTTGAAAGTTGAGAGATTGAATTGCAAGAAGAAGGGCGCCTCTTTGGGACTTAAATGAATGAAGCTTGAGTTTTGGCATCTAAGTGCTCATTGTATGAAAGCTGGAGGACCAGATTTGCTAGTTTACCATTGAAGAAATTGCAAAGAGTGACCAGAAACTCGACATGGGTGTAGTATTGACACATAATCTGGGTGTCAACACTATGCGTTAAGCTTTCAGAATTAGACTTTCTGTTTCCTGTTTTGTATCAACACATAATTCAGGGTGTCAGCACCATGCATTCAACGTCCAAAATTCAAGTTTCCTATTTTGTTCTAAGTCATACTTCTATTCCAATTAAGATTTCTAAAATCCTGTAAATACCCATCCAAATCTAGAATTAAGGAGAGTTGGTTCTTTTGGGTATTCTTGGAGGTTAAGATAGAGGATTCATCAACAATAAAAGATTAAAGATTTTAATTGCCTTAAATTAGGTTTTGTTTTTCCTTAGATATTCTTATATTCATAATTGTGATTACATATTTTATTTTTTTATTATGAATTAATTCATCTCATTAAGTGTCACGCCCCAGAACCCAAATCCGAGGCGTGATAGACGCCGTGCACTCGTGAGACGGGTCCCACAAATGCACAAGGCTCGGAACTTACTGAACAAAATCAATTTTGATACCATAAAATTTCCAATTAAAATCTAACTTACAAGAGCGTGGTGTACATGTATCTAAAATCTATGTCAAATCTCAAGTGGCTAGCCTTTTATCACGTCACTCCCCTTGATTTTCGAGTCTCGGGGCA